AATTGGGAAGGTGCCGCTGCCCAGCTGGTTGATGTCCTCGTAAAAATAAAGGCTGACATCACCGCCGTCCAAGAAATGCGATGGACGGGACAAGGTCAGAGATGAGTAGGTCTTTGTGGCATTTCCTATAGTGGTAATATAATATATGGGATTCGTGGTGGGGGAGAGACTCCGTCGCCGAGTACTATCATTCATTGCGATGAATGAACGTCTAGCCACAATCCGAATCAAAGCAAGGTTCTTCAACATATCGCTGATTTGGGCCCACGCCCCGACGGATGAGCAGGACGATGTGACAAAAGATGCCATTTGTGAGTGCTAGGAGCGCACTTATGAGAGCTGCCCCCKCCACGATGTCAAAATCGTGCTTGGCCAGGGTGTGCAAAGAAGGTATCTTTTTCACTACGGTCGGTAAATTCAGCCTCCACGAGGAAACATCCCCAAATTACGTACAGCTGCAACCGAAACCATTGGTTTTCGGAAAGTGCACAATAACAGTTGGCTCGACGAAGAGTGCCGTGTCGCGGCGGAGGAAAAACAGGCTGCCTACCTCGCAACGTTACGATCGACCACAACACGTGCGGAATGGGATAGATACCGAGAGTTGAAGAGTAAAGCGATACGCAATTGCAGACAGAAAAATAAAGAGGCCGAAATGCGTGAATACGAAGGGCTTGATAAGCTGGCAGAGCATACTTAAATTATGGAGAGAACATTTCTCCAGCCTGCTGAATGGCAGTGAACGCACAACGCCAGGAGAAGGCGAACCCGATTGCCCAATCGATGATGATGGAGCACACGTTCTATTGCCCGACCATGAAGAAGTTCAAATAGCAATTACCCGCCTGAAGAACACCAAAGCGGCGGGGGAGGATGGATTGCCGGCCGAGCTATACAAGTACGGCGGCGAAGAACTGATAAGGGGCACGCATCAGCTTTTTTGTAAAATATGGTCGGACGGAAGCATGCGAAACGATTGGAATTTAAGTGTGCTGTGCCCAATCCTCAAAAAAGGAGACCCCACAATCTACGACAACTACCGGGATAAGCCTCCTCAACATTGCATACGAGTATAAGGTTTTATCGAGCGTATTGTGTGAAAGATTAAAGCCCACCGTCAACAAACTGATTGGACCTTATCAGTGTAGCTTTAGACCTGGAAAATCAACAACCGACCAGATATTCACCATGCGTAAAATTTTGGAGAAGACCCGTGAAAGGAGACACACACCATCTCTTCGTCGATTTCAAAGCTGCTTTCGACAGCTCGGAAAGGAGCTGCCTTTATGCCGCGTTGTCTGAATTTGGTATCCCCGCAAAACTARTAYGGCTGTGTAAACTGACGTTCAGCAACACCAAAAGCTCCTTCAGGATCAGGAAGGACCTCTCCGAGCCGTTCGATACCAAACGAGGTTTCAGACAGGGCAATTCCCTATCCTGYGATTTCTTCAACCTGCTGCTGGAGAAAATAGTTCGAGCTGCAGAACTTAATCGAGCGGATACCATCTTTTATAAGAGTGTACAGCTATGGGCGTATGCCGATGATATTGATATCATGTTGTTCGCGTGGACGAAAACACTCCACCTCTGAAAGTATTCGACGCTGTACCCGCTGTGTGGCTGTGTGCTTCCTTTAGGAGGCGTGTTGGGCGTAAAAACTTGAATTCTCGGTAAAGATCGGTTATAAAGTAGCACTACACCACCCTAAATATCAATTATAATATGTTGTGGTTATATATTTTTGGTTATGCTGCTGCCTGATCGATTTACTTAGTATGTTGTGGGTAGTTTCTTTCGCATGAACTTTTTTAAAATCTCATTTCCTTTTTGACCTATATCCTTACTTAAAGGTTCTCTAAGTTTTTGATTGARTGAATTTTTATTTTTAAATCTTATTAGACACAATTCAAAACAAATATAATATATGTAGCTTTCAAAGCTTTTATAATGCTTTAAATTAATTACATTTGATATATATTTTATTCTTTGTACAATTTTCTTTAGTCTTTGCAAAAAAAGTGCGACTTTAAACACGTGTTTTTCAAATCAAAATTATTACAAATTAGACCATTTCCTGTCACTGAAATTATTATACACAGATTGGCTAAAACACAATTATTTTACGCACCAATAATTAGTTTGGATTAATACTGTGAAATTCGATTATACCAAATTAACGTAAATTAATGAATAAGCATTTATTTTTAAATTGTGGACTTACGTTTAAAAAAAAGT